ACGATAAACCTTACCCAATTTCTAACACTCAATAAATACATTGTATGTGCCATCGACCTACAGTATTAAGGAAGGGTATGCAGTTGCATATCTTACTTTTTCTAATATAAATGTTACTAAAAAAGAATCTAATGTATAATTTTTTTATTTTTTTTAAACCGACTAACAAACACCCTATAAATCCTACTTCTTAACTACTCATTTGTCCGGGACTTGCCTTAACTCTTCAAGGAAGGGACATATTTTCAAAAACTTGATAATCAAATAACTGCATACCTTAATTTTATTTTTTTTCCATCCACCAACGACTCCGGCTCTAGCTCAAATCGACCCGTTTGTTGTACTACTTGTGGCATACGTCCAGAAAAACAGCCCACGTGGAGAAGAAAAATGATTTATGAAAGCCAAAAAACATTCTGTTTTATTAGGACAAGGACACCAAATAAGCCATGGATATTTTGATACCTAAATCATCTATCATCAATACCAACAAATTAGCAAAGTCCAAAACGTTCTGCACACAAGAACGTGCATTGACCCTACCCATATGAGCACAATGACATCGTTAACAATACATCATTTGTATAATATACCAACATCAAAAGATTTTTATAACACTAATGGATAAATTCTTAAGAAATTATAACAAAATAATCATTATATTTGTAAAATAGATTTTGCATGATTATTTAATTTGCAAAATTACTTCTGATTATTAAGATGGAAGGAAGTACAAAGACATGAATACCCTTTTAATAAACACGAAAACTATAAAAAAAATTATATAAAGGACTAGATACCTATCTTTAAAATATAATAAGAAACCAAATTCATAATTTATAAAAGAGCAATAATTTAACTTTAAAATTACGAAGGGTGGAAAATGTTAGATAAAAAAAAATTAAAAGAATATAAATATAAGATTTTATGATGGCTATAGTCTAAATCTCTATTTCAAAGACTTCTTTTATTTTGTATGTTAGAAAAATTATAATGTGATTTGATTTTAACCATTTTGACTCTGAAAAAAGTAATCAAAAGTATATAATAATCATTATATTTGTAAAATGGATTTTGCATGATTTTAATTAGCAAAATTACTGTTCCGATCATTAAGATGAAACGAGGTACAAAGACATGAATACCCCCTTGATTCTGTCATTAAAATAGCCCCAGAAAACTTGTAAATCCGATAATGATCTACAACTATGTAAATCCGATAAGCTATTAAAATAGCCCCAGAAAACTTGTAAATCCGATAATGATCTACAACTATGTAAATCCGATAAGCTAAAACACTTACAAACACAATCTTTCATAAAACACATATAGAAACTCCAAACAAAAACATTTGGATTATGAAATAATGTTTTGGATTTTTTCATTGATTCCTTGTTTATCTTGTGGTTTCTTTCTTTGTTCCTTTGGTTTGTGACCAGGGTGTTTCCGTTTCTTTGATAGTTTTTGGCTGTAAAAGGTGGCAGTGGCAGTGGTTTTCTGGTAGTCATGGTGGCATCGAGTGTGTAGATATGAAGAGCAAGGGCACAGAGGTGGTGGATGTCTTGGTGGCAGCTGCCATCGAAGACCACTACCATCACCATGTGTTGTTGATATAATCTATCTTGGTTTCCAATACCATTGTTGCTTCAACCATCTGCAATCCAAAAACATAAAAATTAAAAAAAATAATAATAATATTAAATAACTACTATTTTTAGTTTGGAATTCATTCAATAAAGAAAAATTTGCAAAAATGATCCATATGGTTTGTCAATTTCTTTAGGTAAGGTCCAAAAAAAGGGTTTATTAGCAAAAAAATGCCCCTATAACTTTTTTATTGCGTTAATTCTTTTTATTGGATTATTACTTTAAATTTATTATTTTTATTTATAATAAAATATTATTTTTTAATTGGTTTTAATTTCTTTTAATTGCTTTCTTTATTGTTTTAAATAAAAATACCAAAAAATCTCACCCACCACCACCACTTAGTCACCACCAAAAAACCTCTCCTAATTTATTTTAAATAATTGGAAGATAACATATTTTGCACAACACCACCACCATCACTCAGTCACCACCACCACCACCATCACTCAATCATCGTGTTTATTTTAGTTTTTGTGTATTCACATATATCTAAATTTGTTATATATTTCAATAAACTTATGATTTTAACTTATGATTTTGACATATATAATTTCCCAAAAAATATTTCTACATGAATTACCAAATCCGAGTACTCGCTACTCAGCAGTTGGCCGAACGAGTACCGAATAACGAGTTCTACAACATTGCCACCACCTGTGTGGTGGCTATGGTGGTTTGAAAACCCTCGATCTAACATTGTTGCCATCGATAGCGGTATCGGTAATAAATGGTCGGCTAGAAACTGTATTGTTTTCTAAGGTTTATTGTGCATTGTGTGGGTAGTCGACTAGTGTAGTTTTCGTCGAGAATTGCCAACTGTAGGCGTTGATCGGTGATTTCCAGCGAGATGATACGACATTACGACAACGTAAGGTGGTAGAAGGCAACGAATGGAGGAGCTGACCAGGAGTGTATGGATCGGGCTAACTGGTGGTTGTAGCAGAATATGGTCGGCTTAGTGGCAGAGATAGAGGATTCCGACGGATTGTGATGAGGTTGTCTTAGGTGGCTATTGGTGGCATTGGGTGTAACAAGTTGGTGGGGTTTCTGTTGAACAATCGATGAAGGCAATTAGCGGTTGTCCCGCCGATTTTCGATGATGGGATGCAACACTTTTACGTATTCTGGCGACTTTGTGGTGGAACCAAGCAAATTAAAAAGAAGTATTATAAATTATTAATCCAATATAATGACATTTATTATATATAAAAATAATAATCCAATAAAAATAATTAAAGAAATTAATAATAAAATAAAGTAATATTTATTAATAGAAAAATATTATATGTTAAAAAAATATTTATTAATATATAATAATCTAATAAAAAAGAATTAATCCTATAAAGAAGAAATTTAAAAAAATTAATTAAAAAAATTAATAATATAATAAAATAATGTTTATTAATATATAAATATAATATAATAAAACTAATATTTATAAATATATAATAATCCAATGAAAAAGAATTAATCCAATAAAGAAGAAATTAAAAAAAGAACTAACTAAAAAAATTAATAATATACTAAAATAATATTTATTAATATATAAATATAATATATTAAAAATAATATTTATTAATATATAATAATCCAAAAGAAATAAATTAAAAAAAATAATTAAAAGAATTAATGTACAATAATTCAATAAAATGAAAAAGAAAAATTGCAGAAATGGTCCTTGTAGTTTGGTAAAAAGATAAAACTGCAGAAATGGTCCCTAGGGGTAAATTCGTCATTTTCAAAAACTTAACAGCCAAACTGTTAAACTTAACGAGGTAGGGACCAAAACCACAATAAAACCACCAAATAGGGACCTTTTTTGCTAATAAACGTTTTTTTGGACCTTACCCAAAGAAATTGTCAAACCACAGGGACCATTTTTGCAATTTTGTCTTCAATAAAATATAACTCAAACTTAACTTATTTTCACAAAAATGATGAGAATTCTCACTTTTACTTTATTCAAAGAGAACTAGTGGACATGGGGATTATAAAATATTAGAAAGTAAATGAAGTGGACATCTGGATAAAGTGAAAAATATGAAAAACATCACAAGATATATAGGATTTTAAAAGAAACATCCGGTGGATCTTAATGTTATATAGCAATTATGCTTTTTATCAACACCACACAACCTCACACATAATACATGTGTTGTGTACGTATATTTGTATGTATATAGATATGTATATGTATATATACATGTATGTATATATGACATCAGATAGAGGTCAATATTATCATTTTATTTGGGACATGGACAAAAAACATTTTTAAAACTTGTTTCTTTAAGGACCAAAACTGAAAAGAGTTAAACTCAGGGGCAAAAATGTAATTTACCTCATATACGGTATTAGCTGATTTAACAGAAGCAGACCATTCAGACCTCCATTCAGAACTTGCCCTAGATCCTCTTTTAGCTCCATCAGGAAGTGCAGCTTCCATATCCAACAAATTCATCTTCAACTGTCTCAATGAATCACAACTGGGTCCTGGTCGACTCACCAAACCCAAACCACAATCAAACTTGTTCTTCTTATGTTGTTCAAATTCAACATTTATGAAAAAGGTTTCATGGCATTTAACACAGTGGTATCTACATGGCAAAACGGGTTCCAAACAATCACACCTATGCCATTTTGCCATGTTCGCCTCCAGCAACTCACTTGCCTTTGTAGCAAGTCCGTTGTTATGCGAAAGGATGGTTTCTCTTCGGGTCGTTTCGTTTGAGTTGATTAGATTCTTGATTTGTTCGTCGGATTGGAATAGACGCCATGCACCGGAATCGGAGTCGTAATATATTGGAATCACACATTCCGGTCTTGTTATGATGATTCCGTAATGTGTGCTTGTGTTTGTGTTTGGGAATCCCCAATAGAATCTGTTCTCGGAATCGATACCCAAAAACTCATTGCGTAAAGAGCGCTCTTCATGATTAACAAATTTTAGGGTTTTTTTTGTTGCATCACATTCACATCTGGCTCTTTCAAATTCGTATGGATAAGACTGGTTTTCAATAGCTCGTCGCATAGAAACTTGAGCAAGAAGGTTTTCTGCATTAAAAAAAAACATACGAGTGAATGACCATTTTACCCTTTTGTCAAAAAAGTGATGCTGAATACAAATTATTGTTCATCGTTTATCCAGACAGGATTAATTTAAAGAAAGAGAAAGAAAGAAACTCACCTTATCTGCATCTAATTCCCAATACTCTTTTTCCTTCAAGGCAGTGGTTATATCCAAAAACATAATTGTTTCTTCACTATTTTTATCAACAAGTTGTAAAATATTTTCAAGAGCTTCCTGCGTCGTTGTCCTGCTGAGGTGGCACACAAATGGGACAAAACCAGTTGCCATTTTGGATTTCAGAAAGAGGGGAAGTTAAACAGTATGTGTGATAGTCTCCTTCACACGTATCACAAAGAAGTACTTTTGTATCATATTTATTAATCCCACATACATTACCGATTCCTGTTTCCCAGGGTACTTCGGGTATTTCAGTTGAAGTTAGAATCTCTTCAAGCTCCTTACCTATTTCCTCAACAGGTTTTCTGTTCATGTTATTTTCATAAAATCTCCTAAACAGAGTCCCTACCTGCATTAATAATAAAATCACCTTAAGAAATCTTACTTTATTTAGTGCTGACATGGCAAAAAAAGTTTGGTGATATCATGTGGACTATAATAAGAAACCAACCTCCTTTTCATATAATAATTTAAATTTACGTGACATTTTATCCACCAATCCAAATTTCCTGCGTAAGTTAATCCACACCTGAAAATCAAAAAACATTAACAAAATAATAAACCTTAAAATAAAAATAAAATAAAAAGGTTAAAGAGAATATCTAACCTCCTTAACATCCTCAGGAAATGCTTCATGTGAAGCACCATATGCCCATGAAACAATCTCAAATCAATGGTTCTTAAATCAATAGGACGCATCGACACAGATCCAAAAACAATTTTTAAATAATTATCATCCAAATTTAAGGCCCTCCCAACAAGATCAAAAAGAACTTTTTTCTTCTTATCATAAGCTGCTGCCACCTGGCGTAATACCACACGACACTTTTTCATCACTGTATTTGATAACATCTTGGAGGTTTTGATTTCTTGAATGACAGGTGGCGATGGGTATTTGTGGGCCACCAGATACTTTTTTTTAAAACATTGATTACGGCTCTCTTAGTGGGCCCGGATGCATTGCCCTTGTACATGTCTTTTGAAATGGAAGCTTCCAGAAGCTTCTTTGCCCATTCGGGTGGGTTTTTCTTTAAAGATTCACGCACACAGTTCCGAATTCGGGATCCCACATTTGGAGGCAGCTTTCTAACAGGATCAAGCACTTTCGCCCACTCTGGAATACTAAAATCTGCTTCCCACCTATAGTTTTCCGAATTGTCGACTTTAGTGTAAATCTTACATTTTTGGTCCCTGAGTGAAGCTGTTTTTTTCAATTTTGGTCTCAAAAAGTTTTCCCATGCAAATTGGTCCTTATTTTGTAATGTTTTTGGTCTCTGTTTTAAGTAAAAAGGACTATATTGTTGGACCAAAAACAGTCATTTCACGTGAAACAGGAACCAAAAAAAAGAGGAACCAAAACTGCAAACCCAAGCACCAAAATGAAATTAACTATAAGATTTATTGAACTATGTGAATTATATATAACGGGAAGTGATCCGTACACAACCGTTTTTTGCCATACACAACAATTCATGCTTTATAGAGTTGTACGGTACAACATTTTAAAGTACCAATTGTTGTGTATGGAGAAAATTTGTTGTGTACAAATCATATCCCATATATAACAGATATATTCACCTGTGCATCCACATCAGCACCTGCAACGCCAGATGGCGATCCAGAGAAAATACCATCATCGCCTTGCATACATCGAATGAGCTTAGTGTTATTACCAACAGTAGTGTCTAGAGAATTGATTTCACCACCCATTAACAAGCGAAAAGCCAAGATATATCTTCTAGCCACTTTTGGCCACGTCAGCAGATTAATCGGAAACATTTCTAATTTTATCTTTTTACCCTTGTCCTTTGTATCTTCAGCATCATTGGTTATGGTTAACACGTTATCTATTTTTTTCAGGAGCTTAGTAACTAGCCTACACAGGCGGACAGTAGTCAGCTTGTCAACCTTATGTTTAACACAATTCATTTCTACTGATTCCAGAAATACCCCTGCCCCGTATCCATATGTAACAGGCCATGGTGTAAGAAGCTCCTTTTCAAGATCTTCATATGATAAACAATCTTCTTCCACTTCAAGAACTTCTTGAAAACGACATATGAACTCATACACCTGTGTAGAAGGGAAGAAAGATAAAAACATGTTATAAAAAGACAAGAATACCCTTGTACGAATAATGCATACCTGAAGAAGGTCGCCTGTTGCATGAGAAGATAGCCTTGAGGAAATGAGACTCCCAACAGGAAAAGGCTCCACGTCCTTTATTTTAATTTTTTTAATTTTTTTTTGGAATTAGGTGATTTTGAGCAACTGGACCCTGTCATGATGAAAAAAAGTCCACCTTGACATGTATAAAATGAGCCAGTAAGTTTTTCATGCCAACAAGATTTATACCCAATTGGCAAAATATAATTGCCACCGTACGTAGTATAATGGGCTTGCAATGATTTTCCCAAATGAAAGAACATACAAGTCTTCAAATTGTACTGGAAGTTGAACCTAAATATAAACCATAAACATAATCCAAAATGTAAATAATTGACAAAAAATGTAATGAACTAAAACTTGATGGTCAATAGTAAACATTCCGACATACATTGATCTTGTGTGCCATCAATCTGATATCTGAATGAAGCGGAGCCTACGAAAAATGTAACAAGTCAATGCAACTCAACTATACTTATATTCAAATTTAGGGAAATGATATATTTCTCCAAATTTGCAACTATTGATTTGATTTTTGATCTACAAGAGAAGATTATCGGGATTCCACATTACTAATTAAATCATTTGAAAATTGTAACAACTTGAAGTAAAAAAAATGGCATGCGAAAAAACCCAATTAAACGCTAGATTTAATAAAGGTGAATCGCTTCTTGATTTCACCATAAATTCAAAATTTTGTGAATAGAAAGTAACTTGAATCGACTAGATTTATGATTGTAAAGGAATGCAAATGATTTACAACTAGAATAGCTAGTTTTTAGGACTTCATAAGAAAAGCATTCATCAATAAGTAGAAAATAAACGATCGATAGATAAATCAATAGATATAAAAGGAGGACATTCACCTGCTAACTTGCAACCTCCTCTCTTAGGATTTGTTGCCTATCTCTCAGATTAAGAGCTTTTAGGGCTCTTAGGGTTTCAAACTTTGACTTGAAATCCTCCTATTAAATAGATGCATTTTATAGACCTGCACAGATCGGGTTAAATCAATGAAATCTTACAAAGAGGGCAATATGGTAAATTCACAATACTTGGTCTTATTTACCAATTTAATTATTGATTGGCAAGCGACGGAAGACATAATCTATTCCACTCTTTGCTATATAGATTTTCGACTTAGTAACAATTACCAAAGTGCCCTTAACTTGGAATGCTATATAGATATTCGGCTTAGTTACACCTATTTGGCAAACTAGCTGAAATGTAGCTTTTATCAATAAGCTATTTAAAACTAGTTTATCAATAAGCTAGCTTATAAGCTACTTTATAAACTATGATAACTACTTTTATGGTTTTACCAAATGCTAAATTACTATAACCTAGGTTATTTTTGCCAAATATGGCCTTAGAAAGATTATTGTAATCTAACCATAATTTCTCTCTCATTGTGTGTCTATTGATCCTTATTGAGAAGCCCGAATATATGTTTGTTTCTTCCTTTTTTGTAGGATTTGAACTATGAAAACTTGTTTTGTGTGTTGGAATCAATCTCACGGAATGAGAAAGGCGTTGTTTGAACACATTATTTTAATGTTACACACAATATTATTGTTAATAATTATAAAGAAAATGAATATAGATATGGAAAAATGGGAATCATTGCAACATTTCATCTCTTCATTCCAAAACGCACCAACCAAGAATATAATGTTGACTTTTTAAGAATAAATAACACCAAACATATAATGGAGAAAATGAACTTAAATGGTAAAAGAATTATTTAAAAGATTTAGCATATTTCATTCCAAACTGGATAAATAAAGCAAACCCAAAAATAAAATGGTAATGGACCATACCGTTACTTTCTTCATTACATTTTTCCCATTCCAGTCAAGAGAAGCCTATAGCAATAAAAATGTGTTTATTTCTTCATTACATTCCACCTCATTATGCAAACGAATTAATAGAAAAAAACATAAAACCAAGAACAGGGAAAAAAATACAACTTCAATTATTAAAGCAATAAGATAGAAAAAAAAAAGCAACCAAGATATTGAAATGACCAGAAAGATAATCAGATAAACATGACTAGAAATAAGTTATAAGAATATAAAACTACAAAGATTTACACTAGATCTGATCTCTGATTTCTGCAGTTTTACTGTTTACTTTTTTTTTTTTTTTTTTTTTTTTGCAGTTGCTTGGAAGAGCTGCAGCGAAAGTATTTGGCAAAAGGAAAAGAGAAATGAGTATTTTACCTACAAATGTGGGGTCCCGAATTCGGAATTGTGTGCGTGAATCTTTAAAGAAAAACCCACCCGAATGGGCAAAGAAGCTTCTAGAAGCTTCCATTTCAAAAGACATGTACTAGGGCAATGCATCCGGGCCCACTAAGAGAGCCGTAATCAATGTTTTAAAAAGAGTATCTGGTGGCCCACAAATACCATCGCCACCTGTCATTCAAGAAATCAAAACCTCCAACATGTTATCAAATACAGTGTGAAAAGTGTCGTTTGGTATTACGCCAGGTGGCAGCAGCTTATGATAAGAAGAAAAAATTCTTTTTGATCTTGTTGGAAGGGACTTAAATTGTGATGATAGATATTTAAAAACTGGTTTTGGATCCGTGTCAATGCATCCTATTGAATTAAGAACCATTAATTTGAGATTGTTTCATGGGGTATATGGTGGTTCACATGAAGCATTTTTTGAGGATGTTAAGGAGGTTAGATATCCTCTTTAACCTTTTTTTTTTTTTTTTGATTTTAAGTTTTTATTGTTTTGTGGATTCTTTTTTTTAATGTTTTTTGATTTGCGGGTGTGGATTAACTTACGCAGGAAATTTAGATTGGTGGATAAAATGTCATGTAAACTTAAAGTGCGATATGAAAAGGAGGTTTGTTTCTTATTATAGTCCACATGATATCACCAAACTTTTTTCTTTTGCCATGTCACGTTTATGGACAATGACATTGCATAAAATATGTTAACTTGTGTTATATCTTCATAATTCAAATCATACAATGCCTTAATAAGGAATAATTGGTAAGTAAAATGTTGTAATAAAGCTAAAGAACATAAAGTAAGATTTTATTAATACAGTTAGGGACTTTGTTTAGGCGATTTTATGAAGATAACATGAACAGAATACCTATTGAGGAAATAGAGAAGGAGCTTGAAGAGATTCTAACTTCAACTGAAATACCCGAAGCACCCTGGGAAACAGGAATCGTCAATGTATGTGGGATTAATAAAGATGATACAAAAGTACTTCTTTGTGATATGTGTGAAGCAGACTATCACACATATTGTTTGACTCCCCTCTTTCTGAAATCCCAAAAGGCAACTAGTTTTGTCCCATTTGTGTGCACCTCAGCAGGACAACGAAGCAGAAGCTCTTGAAAATATTTTACAATTTATTGATAAAAGTTGTGAAGAAACAATTAAGTTTTTGGATATAGCCGCTGCCTTGAAGGAAAAAGACACTAGGCATGCGGAAGATTTGAAATTCGTATCATCTGTTTATTCTGTGCGCCACGTCAGCATAGATCTTGAGAACTTTTTGAGTGTCAATGTGACATCTGTCGTTAAAGGTGACAAAGAGACTCGTGAGTTTTTAGAGTTGTTGAAAAATGGTTGAGAGGGATGTATACTAGGCAAATATCATTTACTTGATTCATCTTTAACAACTTCAACTAAAAATATGTAACTTTCTCTTTTACATTCCACTCGTGGGTGAAAACAAAATATGCAAAGTATGTTATTTTTTTATAGAAAGCATAACAATTAAGAACAATAAAAAACAAACATGATGAAAGAAAAACACAACCTCAATTATTAAAGCAATAAGAAGAATAGAAAAGCAACCAAGATACTGAAATGACATTTTCGTCTGCACGAAAAAGAATGCAAGGTTAATAATAAGGATGAACAAAAGGATAAAATTCAAATAAAATGAGAAGAAATAAGTACTAAGAATATTAAAAATACAAAACCAGAAATATATTTAGATTTTAGACTGTAGAATGTTGCGCAAAATAAAAAGATTGAGCATAACTAGTAAAAAAGTTTAAGCAGTCCGGGAGCTTATGTTTTCGCGCTAAATTATCTCAATTCAATAAATTTATTTCGGTAGCTTATTTTCATAAGAAAACTAAAAGCATATTTGTGCAAACGATACTTAGCATATCAATCCTGTTAAGAAAACTAAAAGCAATCATGAAGCCATATCTACATCTATAGTATATGATATTTCATTATCATTTACTATTATTACTCAATACTATCACAACTGAGTTTCATATAGCAATGGACATTATTGCATAATAATTACTGTGACAAGAATCATGCATGTTAATGATGAATGTTTTATCAACTGCAAGGTGATTAACTTTATCTTTCATAAAAGAAATTATACACTAATTGATCGAATTTAACAACAGAGATTTTCGATCCTTATTGATTTTCTTGTTAGTTCGACTAACCCATTTGGCATCACAATATAGATTTTCTTTTTAAAACAGAGAACCAGGAAATTAATAGTAATAACTTGATACCTTCAATTTTCGTTTCCGATAGAAGTAGGCTTGGATTTGAAACCTAACGGACGACGATCATAAAACAGCATATCAATCAGCAGCTCTCGGCATACCCCCAGACCAAGAACATCTACCGATGACGCCGCCTCCATTCCTCCCCACTCAAAAGGGAAACCGCAGGGCGAAGCGTCGGATTCTCCAAGAACAATCACCGGTGTATGGTCTCCGGTGGCTATAGGAGACACGTCGTTATGGAATGATCTGAATAAGGAGAAATCGGCAGCGTCTTCTTCGTCGTTGAGTTCCAAAGAGGCGTGACGAAGATAGTGTCCTCATTCAACCAGGTTTCCAGGCGACATGGCCGCCATTGTTTTGTGTAACAATGGGTATATTCGGGACTCCAGCTAGCAACTTCGGGTTGCCTTTTATTCTATTTTTAAAGAGAAAATTATAAGAGTAGTACCTGTGGTTTGAAATAGTTTGTCATTTGATCTTTAACTTCTTTTTTAACATGAACGGTTCCTACGCTTTGATTTTTTATTTTTTTTTTTTTTTATCCCACACATCCGACAACTACCGTTAGCCCACTCCAGCAACCGGTACCAGTTACCTCCGACAGTCAAGCCAAAACTAAATCAAAACCTACAACCAGAATAATATCTGAAATTAAACCTAAAATCCCACTTGGAACACATAACTTTCTCACCATCATCTTCGTATAGTTATTCAGCAGACCATCAACACGTTAAATGGACCGGAATATCCAAACCACACAAACTATTAAAACCATATTGATTCTTATTGTAACGCCCTGTTTCGAATCGTTTCCCATTGCGGGGTGGTAATCAAGGAGTGGGTATTTGTCACACCCCCAAACCGGAACGGCGGAAACGTTCGGGGGTGGATGACGTCATGTATAGTATCACAACAATTGTATCATAGCAATCATAGTAAACACAACCATTACAGTGAATACATATATGAAAAATGTTTACATCTGTTTAAGTCTTGTTTGTATACATCAAAAAGTATAAGCAAAATATAAAGACGTGACTTTAAACGCTCCGTCTTCTCGAAACTCCAGGTGGTACCTGTCTACTGATTTTCTGAGAATACAAGCAGTTTTGAAAGAGTATCAGCATAAAGCTGGTGAGTTCATAAGTGATGTTTTGTAGTGAAAATCTGTTGATAAATTTGTAGAAATGTTCTTATGTTTCCAAGAAAATCCATATTTTCTTAGTGAAAGTAAGATGATACCGTTCCTTCTATGAATGTTTGTTACTGTATTCCCTTGTAGTATATGAAACATGTTAGTCTGTATGCTTGGTTATTACCAAAACGTATAGTATGTTTTATTTTGAAAACCCTGGCTACACCAGAAAGTATAGCTGTTTTATTAATTAAAATAAAACCGAGGAGTGTATTTCTGAAATCCTCCAGTGTAAGGTATAATGGTTCTATTAATGAAAATAAAACTAATGAAGAATGAAATCTTGTAAACAAATGTTAGTTTATACTTATTTTGAGTCGTATAACCATGCTTGATATGACCTAGTGACCTTTACAACGTTCATCAAGTGTTGGTTAAATGACATTTGTCACCTCAGGCATGCCTGCCTAACTGTAGCTAGCAGTTCAGGTGTGGGATTGTCAATCCCGAATAGATCTATTCACAAGTCTCACGCTCTCCCTCCAGGAGACTCTGGTTATACTGTGATAGGATTTAATTTAGTACCCTAAGGGTACAGTTTTGAAGTAGAGTCTCACAATTCTGTATAATCTAGTTTACATGTAATTCTGTATTGTTCTCTTGTATTTGAATCCGTTGAATACGGTATACGGTAATAATTATACTTAAATAATTATTAAATGTTGTGCTCTTGGAGTGATATATACCATAAACTAAATCTGCCATAGTTTATATGTTTAGCAGTGAATAACTCTGAATTCGTAAAAGCTGTGTATTGAAAACCCCAAACTATAACTATTATAGTTTGCATGCATATAGTGTAGTTGATGTGAATATTGAATCTGAAAAACTATGCAATTATGGTTGTAAGTTGAAAACGTCCCTTATGCTCAACATAGTACAAAGGGATAATATATATAAATATTTTATAAAAATACAGAAATCGTTTGTCTGCATCAGTTGCATAAGTTTATATTGTTAAAGTCCTTTTGTATTAGTTCACAAATCAATTGTGTTTGGCTTGTATTCCCCCCTGAAAACGTTTCAAAATCGTTAAAGCGTAGGGGTATGAACTCACCTCGAGTGAGTGGTTTGAATGAAAGATCGGTATGGGATGTTGAGTGTCAAGTGAAGTCTCGAACACAATTGGATCCTATTTAGCATGTAATAACACATATATGAATCAAATTAGGGTATTTCACCACTAGACATGATAGGAAATCATCCTAAGGACTTGGAAAACACTTGAACTAAGTGTTTAAATAATATGTGATGAGTGAGGGAGGTGTACGCCCACCCTAAGGGTGTGTGTACGGCCATGGGTGTACGACCTATGAGTGTACGGCCGTACACTCATGAAGAAGTGTGCATTTGAGGTGTTTCCAAGGTCCTAAACTGCATCAAGGAAGTGTTCTAGGTCCCATGCTGAGCGTTTAAGGCCAATAATGATCATCAAAGTGGGTTTACGGCCCTATGAGGTGTGTGCGGCCGTAAAGGGGTGTGCGGCCGTACACCCTTCATGTTCATATGCCCAAATTTTCGACTTTAAGGTGAATCAAGGCTAGGATCATGTTTAACATGTCCAACTAGATATAGGGTCAAAACTCCCACTTTGGAGGCCTTTAAGGTGTGTACGACCAACCTTATGAGGTGTGCGGCCGTACTCCTCAAAGGGTGAAGAACAGTTGAAACTTGAAGAAGAATCAAGGCTTAAATCAAGAGGTCTTTCAAGTATAACAAGCTAAAGGATGGAATACTTACGTTTTTGAAGCCTTAAGGGTTCACGGTTGAGAAGCTTGAGAGAAGTGGAGTGGTGTGCAGCCAAGGAAGAAATAATGAAGAAGTGAGGTCTACTCATATATATAGGAGTGGGTGACCCACACCTTGAGTGTGCGGCCATGAGGGGGTGTACGGCGTACACTCCTCCTAAAGGAGTGTATGGCCCGAATGCTACTTTACGACTTGTTAACTCATCCTAATCTCAACTTGGTTGTACTTAAGCTTAGAACACTTAAAACGAACCCTAAACAGTGCTAAAAAATAACAAAAACGAGTTTAACATTGATTGAATTGATAGTTGTACAAGATAGAAGTTCCGGGTTGTCACATCATCCCCCCTTAGAGGGAATTTCGTCCCGAAATTCAAGAATAGAATACAAATCATGGACTTGGAAAAAGATGAGGGTACTTTTGTTTTCATTGAATCTTCGCGCTCCCAAGTGAATTCAGGTCCCCGCTTGGCATTCCAGCGAACCTTCACTATCGGGATGCGACTTTGTTTCGTTCGTTTGACTTCCCGGTCCATGATTTCAACTGGTTCCTCCACGAAGTGTAAGCTCTTGTCTAGTTCGATCTCATCGAGGGAATCACAAGTGTCTCATCGGACAGACACTTCTTTAGGTTCGACACGTGGAAGACGGATTACGTTGCTAAGTTCTCGGGGTAACAGGTTTGTATGCTACGGGACCGATCCTAGCGAGGATCTCGAATGGTCCAATGTATCTTGGATTTAGCTTTCCACGCTTTCCGAAGCGTAACCTCTCCAGGGTGAGACCTTCAAAAGGACACGGTCACCAACCTGGAACTCCAAGGGTTTTCGTCTCTTATCGGCGTAGCTCTTTTGTCTATCTCTTGAGCTTTTATCGTTCCGTTTATCGTTCTCGGATTTGTACGACTTTTTAGTCGTCTCTCGGATGATTTCAGGACCCGTGAGAGTGCTGTCGGGGACTTGACCCTTGACTAGCTGCGTGTCACCCACCTCAGCCCAGCACAGAGGGGATCTGCACTTACGGCCATAGAGGGCTTCAAATGGCGCAGCCTTGATGCTGGTATGGTAGTTGTTGTTGTAGGAAAATTCGACCAAGGGCAAATGAGTGTCCCACGACATGCCGAAGTCGATGACGCAGGCTCTCAACATATCTTCCAATGTCTGAATTGTTCTCTCACTCTGTCCATCTGTCTGTGGATGATAAGTCGTGCTCATATCCAGCTTAGTTCCAAGAGCCTTCTGTAGTGACTGCCAAAATCTCGAGGTAAACCTGCTATCTCGATCGGAGATAATGGATACAGGCACCCCATGAAGGCGAACTATTTCTCGAAGGTAGATTCGTGTGAGTCTCTCCATTTTGAAGTTTTCTTTGATTGGTAGGAAGTGGGCGGATTTAGTCAGTCGATCGACAATTACCCAGATGGCGTCGTGCCCACTCGGAGATCTGGGTAACTTAGTGATAAAATCCATTGTAATCCTTTTCCACTTCCACTCAGGTATTTCTGGCTGCTGAAGTAGACCTGAGGGCTTTTGATATTCTACCTTCACCTTGGCGCAAGTCAAGCACTTGCCCACAAAGGTAGCGATTTCTGCTTTCATGTTCGGCCACCAATAGAGTTGTTTGAGATCCAGATACATCTTATCTGAACCTGGGTGAACGGAGTATCTAGTCTTGTGAGCTTCATTCATGACAACCTCCCTGTAACCGCCGTACTTTGGGGTCCAGATCCGGTTCATGAAATAGTAAACTCCGTCTCCCTTGACTTCTAAGTTCTTTTCCATTCCTCTCAAGGCTTCATCCGACATGTTTTCTGGTTTTAAGGCTTCCAGCTGAGCCTCTCTGATTTGTGCGGATAATTGGGAATGGATGGTCATGGTCAGTGCCTTCACCTACGACCTGAATACTCCTTTCGGCTGAGGGCATCTGCTACCACATTGGCCTTGTCGGGATGGTAGCGTATTTCGCACTCGTAATCACTGAGTAGCTCTACCCATCGCCGCTGTCTCATGTTCAACTCTTTCTGATCGAAGATATGTTGTAGGCTCTTATGGTCGGTGAAGACAGTGCACTTGGTTCCGTAGAGATAATGTCTCCAGATCTTTAATGCGAAGACCACTGCTCCCAACTCTAGATCGTGAGTTGTGTAATTGACTTCGTGTGTTTTCAGCTGCCTCGAGGCATAGGCGATAACCTTTCCTCGCTGCATGAGCACACAGCCTAGGCCCTGATTGGATGCATCACAGTAGACAACGAAGTCTTCCGTCCCTTCGGGCAGGGACAAGATAGGTGCGCTGCATAGGGCCTGCTTCAATGTTTGAAACGCAGTGTCTTGCTTTTCTCCCCAACTAAAGGTTACACCTTTCTGTGTCAGGGTGGTTAAAGGCTTAGCGATTTTGGAGAAGTTTTGGATAAACATGCGATAATAGCCAGTGAGACCCAAGAATTGA